GCATGCAGTTGTCCTCCTCTGTGGCCCCCACTGTCTTGGCCACCATGGCAGACTGATGCTCCTGGTCCTCTAGGTGCCTCTCTTTGAAGGTCAGGAGCCTGTTCCTGAACACCTTATCCACCTGGTCCCTCTCCCATTCCATTTCCACCTTGCATGCAACTCTTTTCTGCTCATGAGTGAGGTCCTCCTTGTGCCAGGCCTGGTTTTCCGCCATGGCAACCAACTGGTCTAGCAGCCTGGTCCAGTTCTGGGTCCTCTGCTGCCAAAGCCAGCAGATGTGGAGAGCCCCAGCCAAGACAGGCAATGACCCTAATGGCACATCCCTGCTGGCAGCTGGTACCGCTCCCCTGCATGCAGCTGCAGAACCTGCAGAACAAGGGGAAAGAAGCTGGTTGTGAGAGTTTGCAACATTTCTGAGATAACATCCACTATACTGGGGGGGGAGGGGGGGGCTGGTGTGCTGGCCAGCCTCAGATTGGGGGTCATACATGCAAGGGTGCCCAGGGACCATGATAAGTTGGCCAGCCATGCCCTGGCACAGGCAGCCACCAGCTGAGTCCCCTATGGCTGAGTCCCCTATCCCCACTCACTCTGCAGGGGCAGGTGGGCCACTGGGTGCTGGTCATAGGCAGCTTGCCTTCCCTGCCCCCTTCCTAGGGAAGGACAGGCCTGGCTTCTGGCAGAACCTGCTGCCATGGCTCCAGACCCACTCCCCACACCCCCTTCTCTATTGCTGCCAGGCTCCATGGCACCTGGGCTCTGGAGGAGAGGGGCTCCCGGCCAACTGAAACATGGAGCTGGTAGTCATTGCCCTCCCACCAGGGGGTCTCTCTGGAGAGGTGCTCAGGTGCTGCCCCCTCCACACCTGTCCTGTGCATGCCCCTGCTGAGAGTGTCCTGGGCACAATGCAAGGAGCTGTTTGTGTGGACCAAGAGGTGCACAACCCACTATGCCCTGCTGCTGCTGCTCACCATGGTGCCCCAGGAGCACCTGAAAATCTGGAGTGGGACCCTGAGCTTCCACTGTGCAGTGGGCTAGCCCACGCTATCCTGCAATGTCTGGTGCTGCCTGGAGGGCTACCTGTGCCTGCATTAGACGTCCCTGCCCCCTGCAACTGAGGACATTGCCTCCATCATTGATGTGCTCCTCCGCATGCAAGAGGCTCATTCCTGTCTACCTGAGGGGACACAGGCTACTCAAGAAAGTTTTGCACTGTCTCCCACCTCCCTGCATGCTGGGGGGAGGTGGGGACTCCAGTGGCCAGGAGGCATGCAGGTGAGCTAAGTGGGGATGAGGGGCAGGGGCAGGGAGGGCCCTCCTCCCAGTATGGGGCTTACCAGGTGCGCCTGGTGGCCTGAGTCTGTCCCCACTGGCAAGAGAGACATGCAGCTCCTGATGGTATCCAGGGGTGCAGGGGCATGGTGCCTGGCTGCCCAGGCAGAGGCACACTCTGAGGAGGAGCTGGAACTGTGGAGGGCCGGTGGTGCAATGATTGGCCTGGCTTCCTGAGTGGAGCCATGCACCCAGAGCTGGTAGGGCAGGTGCTGGTCTGGGCTGCTGGAACTGATGGATGAGACCAGGGCAGGGAACACAATGGGATGAGCTCCTGGCACTCCGAAGCGCTGTCCCCCGCTGACACCTCATTGATACTGCCAGGCCACAGCAGAGGCTCGCATGGCTGTCTGTGCTAGAGTACATGGCTCAGCTCCGGTCAGGGTCCCAGGGCATAAGTTTCTGGTCCAGCTGCCCCATAAAGGGCATGGACTTGTGGGCAGCCCCCAACTGGCAGTTCTGGTTGATGACAGCAACCCACTGTGCCCACAATGCCTTGACCTTTATATGGCACTGGCAAGCCGACTGGTCATGCCCACGCTCATGCATGCAACCTCGCAGGCCCTCATATCCATGGGCATTGAAGCACCCACTATAGATGAATTGGTTGAGGACTTTGGCTTCACTTCACAGCAGCACAAGGTCCGTGGTCTCTTCCTGGGACCAGTTCCGGCCCCAGGAGGTGACTTGTGGCGTTGGGGTGGCTCCCTCAATGGCCCACAGGGCCCCTGCTTGACAGTTCAGGTGCTGCTGGGCCTGGATAGGTACCTGCAGCACCCAGTGAGGAGGTATGGCACAGGACAGGCAGGCAGGCGGTTGGACTGTGCTGAGGACCAGTGCTAGGGTCCAGGCAGGCTCCTGCAGGAGCTAGTGGCCAGAGGCTGGCTGCAGATGGCCCAGGGTCCTGGAGTCCCTGTAGCCTTTTAAGGGCTGGGGCACGCAAAGAGCCATCTCAGCCCCAGGGCTGGAAAAGCTCCAAGCCCCATGGGCTGACCAGGAGCAAATTTGCTCCTGGTTGGTGTCTACACATACATTACTGTGCAGTAACTACTCCACAGTTAATTTGCTACCTACATTTGCAAGTAACCATGGAGTAAACCAATTTACTGCGCAGTAAACATCTGCACGTATAGATGGTGATGCTTACTGCACAATAAATTGGTCTACTGTGCAGTAAAGTGTCTCATGTAGATGTGCCCTCTTTTACTTTTCTGCTTCCAACCCTCACACCTGAACAACTTACCCCATTCCTGAATTGGATATAAGATCGTCTTTTTACTCTAGAGCAAGGGTGGCCAACCTCCGGCTCCAAAACCACATGCGGCTCTTCAGAAGTTAATATGCGTCTCCTTGAATCTTTGCACAAGCACAAGCTTCCATTTGGAAGCTGGCCACCGTGTGCTTGTGTAAAGATTCAAGGAGATGCATATTAGCTTTTGAAGAGCCGCATGTGGCTCTAGAGCCGCAGGTTGGCCACCCCTGCTCTAGAGTATGACTTCATCTGCTCATCTCACCTTTAATTTAAGCCTCTATTTGCCCAATTTACTCTATGTTTTCCTAGCATTGTACTGTGTTATGTTTGCCCTTCAGTCTCTTGCCTTTATCATAATTTATGCAGTCACATTTATTTTAAATAGTTGTATCTTTTTAAGCCAACACTAAAGGTTTCCATCCTTCAAAAAACACTTTTCTTTATAGGGTATTTGATTTAACTCACTGAACTACTACTAACATTATTTTAATGCTTTGCAAATAAGTAATGTGGCAGATTTGTGGCAGAACATTAAACATACAAAGTTTCCTCACTGCTTTTCCAGTGGAGCACTACATTGATTTAAAGGGGTCATTGTCAGCATAAAGTCATTCAAAGCTTCTGGTTTTTCCATATACAAATGGCAGCAAAGATATTTTCACCTGTATACCCACACTGTTAATAGAGCTCCATACTCATTAAAAATTAAGGTAGGCCATTCCGGCCAGGTTCCAAACCAGCTGGCGAGGTTGCCACGTGCAGCACATGTCCTGGACTGGCTGGGACAAGCAGCACAGATCCCAGAGCAGTTCAAACATGCAACACAGTCCAGCAAGGGTAGGCACTGCATGTGTAGCATGAGTCCTTGACTGGTTGAAAGCAGACACTGCGTGCGACACATGGCGTCTGCCCTAGTCAGGCTGCACAGCACATGGCATCTGTTCCAGGATCCACACTGCACGCAGCTCCCTGGCCCCAGCCCCCAAATCTGATCTGAGACAGCTGGTCTGAGACCTGGGTTGTGTGAAATGCCTGTGTGCGGGGTGTGCCATGTGTGGCTCCTAGGTGCAGTATCAGGGGCCAGTTGACAAGGCTCCATGGGCTGAATATGACCCATGGGAGATATCTTTGACACTCTTGATCTACAGCAACCCTTGTTTCTTTGTTTAGACAATAACTGGGCCTCATCCAGGACTGATCCTTACAGGGGGAACAAATTACTATCTTTCCTATAATTGCTCTGAACCTGTGATGGCTGTCTACACTGACATGTACTTCCTTACCATCTCCTAGTGCTTTTCTGTGGTCTGCTGGTTGCTTGCCTCTTATAGAATTATCTCCATAAAGAGACTTGAGAAGTCACATATCTCCACACAAATCCCTAATAGCAAGGAATAAAGAACAAGAGTTTCTTAAAATGCACAGATGCTTAAGCACATAGCTTGCAGGCTTCCCTGTCTATCAACCAAGGCCCCAAAACTTAAGATTTCTTTACTGACCAATTAGAAGATGCTACTTTTAGGAGGCAGGGATGCTGAGCAAGAACAACTCATTTTACAAAGTAGACAAAAAGACCTCCTATGTGCTCATAACATTCACAACCAGAAGTTGATTTAGAATGTAATACACAGACAAATCAAAAAAACTGAGAAAAAATGTAGCTTGTTTTCCTCATGACTTAGCTGACTACAAACTCTTCTAGTTAAAAGACTAAAAATAATCTCTGTTCTGTTCTAGAGAGCTATAATGAAGCTACTGTGAAATAATTAACTTACATAGCTGATATTAAATGCTATTATTAGTCTGAATCCTGCCCAACCATGTCTTAGCAGGAAACTGTAAGAGAAAAAAAATAAGACTGAAGAGAGTATATATTACTACCTAACAGGCTGTTCCAAGCATCCTTGGCACTTCTATGCTTAGGTATAGGTCCGTGTTTTCCTAAAGATCCACTGCATCATGTAATTAAGGAAGAAAAATGGAAGAATTAAGGAAGAACCAGTAATTCATACCAATGTCCAGAAGTGGCTCACAAAAGCTTAACATGAGGCTTAAGTTACCTCTACTGTAACCCCTGTGCATTGACTATAAAGGCAAATAACAAGGGCATGTTCTATCTCCACAGACCACGTATGCTCCATGGGTGGGTAGGTGAGTCAATCGCACTGCCATTCTCAAGCTGATCTTTGTTCTCTAATTAATTCAATCCCTCTGTCCCCCCATTACCAAATATTTTAAAAATTAAACTGTACATGAAACTAAATACCACACTTGTATACCTCCCTACAAATTCTGTGTTTGTGGTTGCAGGAAGATATTAGTTGGCTATAAAAAAGGCTAAGAGACCAGCACATCCCTTTGGGACAGATGTTGAACTACCTATACAAGCATTTGAAATAGAACAATAGTTTTTAAAGAAAAAATAATATTTATTTGCAATATAAACAAAGTCCCAATATTGGTTCAGGATATATAGGGTCATTAATTTTCCTTCATAACTCAGAAAGCAAGACTGCCTCACTAACAAGCATTCATTTGTATTAGTCAGAAGATACATTTTTTCCCTTTAAAGAGTAAAGATTACTTACAGCACAAAAAGCCTTTACAAACCAGCTTAGCTGTAATGCAATATAGATGCACCGTCTAAAAATCCCTGAAAAATAAATTCCTCGATGAGGTAAGATGCAATTAGAATATTTGCAAATTTGCTTGCCCATTCACAACCATACTCATGATCATTCTCTCTTCCCCAATGACCCACTATCCCAACATTGTTAACAAATCAGAAAGAAGAAAAAAACCCATCACCATTCAGGTAACATTGATGTGACACCATCAAACAATTTCTCTACACGGAGTTTGGTTTTCTTCCCTCCACTATAACCTGTTCTTTTTTGGGGGGGAGGGAGGGAATACAAAAATGGGATATTTAGGAGGGAAATCCGTGGCTTTTTTCAGGTGTATGAGAGTTAAAATGGAGAGAAGGGGATAAGAGGATGACACTACACCCTCAGATCCATTCTGCCCTCCTCCCATTTTTACCCTCCCCTGCTTAGTACAACATGTTTACCAGACATTAGCCAGAAATATAAACAAGGCTTCTCATAATAGAAGGCACTGCAAGAAGTTACTTGAAAAGATAAAAACCATCAGAACCTCCACTGCAAGCTCCAATCATCTTAAAAGTTGCCAGTTTTTTTGTTAGTTTATACTCCTCTGTTATTTCTTGTATTTCCACTCTCCTCTCAGTGTCTGCATGACTGCTTAGTAGTGTCATACTATAAAAAACCTTGCGCTGCTCCAGATGCACAGTAGCAGTAGCAATAGATTCCCTCTCCCCCCCCCGACCCCACACACACACACACACACACACACACACACACACACACTTAAGAGTGTCTGAGAGAAAAATGCCAACATCACAAGTATTTTCTTTACTTCAGAAGTGGGAATGTTTCAGGCCAGCTGGCAGCACAAAATGAGAGTTAACCTCAGACATGCTTCTATCAAATCTCAAAGCTAAACAAGATTTACCTCTGACAACAGCAGTGTTTTTTGGCACGGGTGGCTTTTAAAAAAGTTTGCAGCTTAGTCACCTTGGTTGATTCAGTGCAAAGTTTGTGATTGTGTGTGTGTGGAAGTGGTGAAACATTACTAAGACCAACCGGCCTTCACAAAGAGTAAAACTTTCTATCAGATGCTAGCAACAGCAGCAGCATGTGCGTGTCTCTCTCGAGTACCCAGTAATATGCCAAGATATACCAAGGCTTCACAAATTGTGCAAAATGCATTTGGTCAATACAAATATTCGATTAAAAATGATCAAACAAGAACAGAATAAAATACTGGTTTTGCAACCATATCTGTACAAACAGTGAAGAACTTACATATTTAAAAAGTTTGAACTCAATGCTCAAGAGTAAGATTACCTTTTTTAAAAAAAGTAAACCTGGATTTTAAAACAGTCTTGGGCCAACACCTTTTGTTCAAGGTGGCCAAGTGCTTAAGTGTTGTTTACTTTCCCCAAACAAACTAATACACAGGTAGCTCCGTGTGTTTGCGTGTTCTGCCAGTCTTAATACACCCAGGAAAGCAGTTATTGCTGGTAACAGCTGTGTTCAGAACACCATAATATTCCCCATATTAAATGGACCTGTGAAAAAACTACCTCTTTGATCCATTTTGATTAGCATCAGAATACTAATAAATGGTATTAGCCTTTTAAAAGCAGCAGACCGCTCTACTTGGAGCAACAAGTTCTTTCAAGGCTGCCTGATAGATTTCATATTTGAAATGCTTAATGCAAACTATTTGATGCTTGAATTCCCAACCAAGCATAATTCCCTTCATGTGGATTCCAAGGTTTTCAGCTGGAACAGGTTGTGATTAGTTGGTGTGGTAAAGTAGAGCTGCTCACTGGGGGAGTGGCTTTCACACTGGTTGTTGAGTCCCAGAGTCCTCTCAAAATCCAGCAACTGGCCCATAAAGTTAAAGTTTGGAGAGATATTGGACTTTTTTCTTTTCACAAAGTCATAGGCATCGTTCAGGGACAAGTTTAGTTTTTGCATCAAGTAGGCAACAGTTACTGTTACAGACCTGCTAATGCCAGCAAGGCAATGAACCAGGATACCGCACTTCTTGGAACGGGCCTCATCTGAAACAAAAGGGGGTAGGAGAAGATACATTTATAATTCTGTGGGAATAAACCACTATCCTTTGGAACCAGGCAACTCCCAGCAATGGATTCAGAGTGTAATCTATCAAAACAAATGTTGGCAGAGAGGAAAGGTAACATAGCTTGTAGTAAAAATTACAATAGAGAAAAGATTAGAATTATTTTATGCCTCTAACAGTTAGAACTACTGGTGCTGACCATAAGTGGAGGGAGAATATACCATTTGGGTGGGCTGATTGCATGCATTCACCCACCCTACCACCCCCTAGCAGTTAAGTCTGTCGTGGGGAAGGGGCATGGGGGTGCAATTGAGGCCCCCCCACAGTGCAGGAGGGAGTGGGGAAGAGGCAGGGATGAATGGGGCCCCGGGGCAGGCTGTGGTACTATCTGAGTCCTGGGTGGCTCATCCAGGGGTGTGGGAGGGCTCCCACCACTGCGTACACCCTGGGGGGAGGCAAGGGAGGGCATGTGCCCCCTGATCTGTCCATGGGGTGAGGGCAGCTGCCACTGTGTCCTGGGCGCTGCACCCTGCTGCCGCTGCCCCAAAAGCCATATGATGCCATATGCCTGCTGCTGCTGGGCGGGCTGGGGACGGGGTACAGCCCGGCGGTGGCAGGCACATGGTGTTGCGCCACTCCCAGGGCAGTGGCAGTGGGGTGCAGAGCCCAGCCCATAGCAGCAGCTCACTCTCACCCCATGCAGATCGGAGTGGGGAGGGGATGTGCCACCCCCTTGCCTCCCCCAGGGTGCACGCAGCAGCAGAAGCCCCCATGTGCTTGTGGATGAGCCACCCAGGGCTCCAGTAGTCCCATGACCCACCCTAGGGCCCCATTCACCTCAGCCCCTGCCCCATTCCCTCCCTCACTGTAAGGGCCTCAATCTGGCACCCCCCACTCCCCTTCCTCTTCACAGAGTAGACTGAAACTTGCCTGGCTGCCATGCTGCGTAGTAATCCACACGCCAGGGCTGCAATCCTGGCTGCGTGTCTTGAGTGTGCACGCCCCTCGCTACAGCAGCCCAGAGCCCATGGCCAGGATGCCCTGTGGCCCTACCCACTGCCTTATGTTTGGCAGGAGTGGGGTGGGGGGTTAAGCCCTACTAGCCCTTGCTTTCTGCCTTCTATGATGAGGACTGAAGCACACATGCATACTCTCCTACAGGCAAAAGAGCATGATCCCTCCATGAACTTAACTGCTGAAAGTGGTGTATGCTGCTGACAACACTGTATACATACAATTATATTGCAGACTTTACTTCTGGGCAGACCTGTTTCTACCAGTCATGTGACCTAGACCCTGGTAATGAAGGGTAATATGCTATGAGAAAGGGAGCCTCCATCTAACTATATTCAATAATGCCACCCATGAGAAAGACACATTCTGGTATCACAAAGTTAAGGATGGTGTGACAGAACCCACCCAACAGGTGGCCATGATGACCTTGCCAGAAGGCTCATCCTGCATTTCTGTAGTCTTCTTTATAATCTCCTCCCTTGGTTTACTCACCTGCCATGCCTTGCTGGAATAAAACCTCCAGGGGAAGGTTGCTTATGATCTCAAAACACAGGGGAGTCCAGGGGTATAGCTCCCTGACCAGGTTAAATCTTGGGTGCCACTCTCTGCCTTTAGCCCTTCCCCACTCTGGCTCCAGTCCCTCACCAAGTGGGAAGAATAAACAAAAAAAAAAATGGGGAAAAAAAAAAATCACAGTGTGCAGGGCTGGCCTCCTGAACTCCTCTCATAGCTAATTCCAGTCCTCCTGTTGTCATAAACACAAAAAGAAAACCCCACTGGGTATCTAAACAGTCCGTAACAAAAATATCAACCCCTTGGATACACATGAACAGTCCTTCATTAAATCAACGCTCTTCTGAGTGTACTCACTCTACTCATGCAGAAGCTCCTCGTGAGGGACTCAACTTCCGCTCCTCTCACAGGAGAGTCTGCCTTCATTTATAGCCAAACTATCCCTCTGGCTAGGAGGCAAGCCTATATATGTGGGCCAGCCCTTCCCCTGTTGGTCAGCTGACATGGCTCTCTGGTCATAGGGACCAAGGCGTTTCAGATTCCCACTCAGCAGCCCAGCATTTGCTGTCTACAGCCTAGGTCCTACAGCCTACTTAATTATGCCACTCGTGCCTGCTGTTTCTTGCAGGTAGGTTTTCTGCAAGCAGCCCCTGCTCTGCTCTCTCTCTTCCTGCACAATGGGTAGGAATAAATACCCTGTTACAGATGAGCAGAGAGTACAAAAAAGTAACAAATGGGCATGATTTCCTAGCTGCCTTTACTGTTCAAGGAACTCCAAGACAAAGGACAATTAATTTTCAGATAGCACTGACACTTCTCCAGTTTCAGAATTTATGCAGAGTATGGTTGCCTTTAATCTGACCTAAGCCACATTTTTAAATGTTTGGTTTTATAGAATGCAAGTAAGTTAATCTTCTATTTCCTGTCATTAAAGCCAAAGCACAAGTGTGATGTTGAGACAAATGCTGTCTGACTGTAGCAGACAGAATCCAAGGGTTTCTATACATGTGCTGGGAGCATGGGGAGGGGAGGGGGGAAGGAACAGAGCAGTGGGCACGTTTTTATTAGAACAGCTCCTGGACAGGCACTAATTAAAATGCCTCAGCGTCACGTGTATTCAGTGTCCTGTGTTTCAAAACGGCTGCAAAGGCATTTTAACTAAACCTCACTCAACAAGTTTTAATGAAAGTGCCCCTGCCACCATTTTGAAATGTAGGGTGCTGAATATATGGGACGTTGCAGCACACTAATTAGAATGCTCCAGCAGACTCGATTAATCAAGTTTGATCCAGAGCATATGCATAGGCACCCCACGGATCATGAGAATCACCCCATATATCACCCTGATTTTGCAGTCCAAGCACATTGCCAGTCACCATTTTGGGGCCGGAGCAAAACGGACCCTCCCCTGCCTTTGGGCCTAAGGAAGTCCCGCCTCTCCACAGAGATTGTCAGATGGCCCCTCCCCCACCATGCTTCAGGACCTCAAGGTTTTCCACCTATTTTTAGCTCTCCCTTATTTTTTCTACCCACTTACTGCCTGCTTTCCAGTTTTTTCTTGATCTCCATGCTTTTTTGTGGGGACCAGACTTTTTCCAAAGGGGACCTAGCCAAATTTGTAGTTTCAAGATTTTTGCAGAAACTCCAAATTTGGTAGGTTCCCTACCTATACAACACCATGCAGCTTAATACCACATTTCATTTTGTAATGCAGACATGACTTAGACACTATCCCTATACCAGGCTAACTCCTTGGGTGCTTTAAGGGATCTAACCAGTTCAGTTTGACCAGAACTATGTCATTAAAGGACTGGGAGGAAAAGGGAAGAAGAGGAAAGTGTTGTACAGTAAAAGCTCTGTTATCCGGCATTCATGGGGAATGGGGGATGCTGGTTAATCAAATATGCCAGTTATCTGAGAGCTTATCTCCAGCCTGACTTATCTCCCACTGTGTCCGGTGCACCAGGGCTTTCACTCCCTGGTGTCAGTGTGCCACAGGACAGGGAGGGGGCCCTGCACAGGCTGCTTTGCCCCGGACCATGGTTCTCAAGGAAGAAGTGGGACTCGGCTCGCGGCGGCAAAACCGGAAGTGCCACGGTGGGACTTCCGGTTTTGCTTTTGCCACATCGATCCACTTCTGTAAACAACAGATGCCGTCTGTGACAGATGCCGGGTAATAGAGCATTCCAGATGGTAAAGTGCCGGATAACACAGCTTTTGCTGTAATACTTTTTTTCTCCACAAGATCCTAATATATTGTCCCAATACAGTCTCAAAATGTGGAAAATGAGCAAACATAGATATAAAACTGTCAACAACAAAGAGGTGTTTAAGTCGATAGGCAAAGGCTACGATATGAAGGCAAGAATATCATTTCACTTGATCTAAAATAAAATACCTTTATACAGATTAATAAAAAAGCCTACAGTCTTTGCATTAATTAAAGCAAAGTGATGACTGTATCATTAATTCCTGATGATTCTTAGTTAGGCAGAAGGCAGGGAAAAATAGCACCATAGAGGCTAACTCATTCAGAAATGCATAAGCTTTCATAGGCAACAGCTTATTTCATCAGATGGTATGAAACTTTTAAAGTGAGAAGACCAATGACCATCATCACCACAGCCTACCATCAAGCGTGTTTTAAACTTCCTGAAGTTTGTGTTTTGCTTCAAGCTAGCAAACTCCTACTATACAAAAATAAACAATAATTCGAAAAGTTAAAGCTACCCAGTGAAAAAGAAGCCAGTCTGTTATGTTAGGATCTTGCACTACATTTAAAAATACCTAACACGTGTCTACAAGGAAAATTTATCTGTAAAACTACAGTAATATAATTACACTGATGCAGATGCATTGCTATAACTCCCTGTATTAACACTCCTATACTGAACTGATGCCCACACAAATGATAGTTATACTACTCTAACTAAGGCAAAATTATAATTGTATCAGCAAGTTTCCCTACAAACCCCTCAGATCTCCCCCCCGCCATAGCTGGCATTGAGAATATGCACACAAACAACAATAACAGATAGCTGCAGACACCATTCAACTAAAGCTTCTCTTATCGATACCCACTGTCAATTCTCCACTGCCTTGTTCAGTTATTTTACCAAGATGTGAGTACCTCTGTAATGTGGGAGGCAATGGCGAATAGGGCACACCGCCTAGATTGACAAAAATAATCTATTTGGGAGCGCACAGCTTGAGATTCCTGAGGGAGCACTGCGCACACTGTTTAAATTGAGGATGCTTCAAATCTAGAATGTAATGATTAATTTAACAATGCCTCTAGAATGTAAATTTACAAGTGTAATACTTTATGTCAACATGCAGGATGTACAGATGCTGAGTACCAACCGCTATGGAAAGTAATTTACTGCATTCTCAAACACTGACTGCTACTAGGATATGCTGCCAGGAATAGAATTCCAACACCTACCAATAAAAGCAATGGCCTCAGGAAAGAACTGGGAAAGATTCTGACTCCAGTGATCCGAGATGGGGATCTGTTTATACTTGAATTCTCCATCATGCTCGAACATGTTTGGTAGGTTAGGAGTCACATTCAGTATGTACTTGATGCCATACTTGCCCAAGACATCCAGGTTGGCAGAATCTTTGGCACAGCCCAGATATAAGTATGGTAGGATCTGGACAGGAAAGGTAGGTTGGTTGTTGGGAACTGGGCTCCCATCCGACTCTGTGGCACTGCTTGGCTCCCTGTCAGACTCACCATCTGAACAATCAGAACTTATCCTTAGTCCTCCCAGGCCAAGGACAGATGCAGGAGGAGAGTTGCTGGGGGAGGAGCTGTCAATATTAGGCTCACAATGCTCAGAGTAGTCTGTATGAAATTTGTTAAAGCCACCTGGGAAAAAGAAGGAGAAGCTTTTTACTATTTAAACTGAGAGATTCTTGCATCAGGTTGTGCATGTAACACTAGGTAACAAATGCCAAAGTAAATCGGTTTCTCTAACTAAAAGCCAATATAGATTCAACTCCCTAAAATGCAGGTTATTACCAGCCTAACTGTGCAATACTTACTCCCACCAAGAAGCATATTACTGTGTAATCAGTTCTATTTAAAACAATGGAATTATTTGCAGAGTATGATACTACTCCTTTTCAAAAGTAGAGGCCCAATTCACCAGTTATTATATAAAAGAACGGAAGGAGACTGGTCTGGCTTACATCGGTGACAACATTTCATTTCCCTACTTCTCAGATAGAAATCTAAATATTTTTATATTTGGAATAGTTTAAACAAAAGTTTCTGTGATATTCAACATCTGAGGAAAGGAAATAGCTGGAACATGCAATTAGAAAAGAAAGAGTCAAACTCCACCCATAAAAGACAATTTAAACAGGAAGATAAGTATTTCTGCACTCCAGATTTATTCTAACTGCTACGTTAGAACTCACATCTACTATACAGACATATTTTCTGTTGGATTATCTGTTATGCATTTTTTTAAATAAAAGAAGAACAAAAATTCCTCTCTCTAGCCATCTCTCCCTGGTATTTTTTTCACTCAGCAGTTTGAAAAAAAATAGTTAGCGGGGGAACAAAAAAACAACTCTATTTTCTCTTCAATTTATTACCAGAAGTCATCAATCATTATTATCCAAAGCTAATTAGAACAGCCTAGAAACTTTTGTTTGCTGGTCACGGAAAGATCATTAAGAAAAAACAGACACCTCCTGCCGCATCCATTCATGAAAACAGGGCCCTCCTCCCCCCTTACAGAAAAAGGCAACACAGAGAAGCCATTTTGGAATTTTAATTGAAAACATCTCCCACCAAAGCCCTAAGGAAAAAAAGATAGGGACTTAATTCTAGCCTTCCCATTAAAGATGGCTTAAAAATAACTTCAAAGATGTTGCTTCTTCCTGTTTATGGAAGAAACTGACTGTAAAAACCCCCCACATAACAGCTGTAATGAAGTAACTCAAGTCTTATGTAAGAGACAAATTGGTCTTGAAGACAAAAAGAGGGAAAGAAAGGGAACACACACACACACACACACGCGCGCGCACGCGCGCACACACACACACACACTGACAGCCACGATTACAATGTAGTGCTTGTATGTTAGGTAGGAAACTCCTTTTATTTTTGTTCCTAATAGGTCTTAATGCTAGGAAGAAGAAAATGCTCCCACACTTAACAGATCATTTTCCCTGCTATACACCTCAAAGAACATCCGGTTTGTTGGTTGTAGCCAGGTCAAAGAACCTTATCACTTCTTCCTTCCCCTCCTACCACAGGGCTTCTTTTAGTTTCAAACAGAAAAAACCCAATCCCCCCCACTACCCAGTATTTTAAAGATTTGAAAGTGGCCAGCTTGTTTCTAGTTTGCCAACTATTTCTGCCTCAACCACACCACCCAGTGACAACAGTGGGATGTGCTTTGGTGTTTGACCAACTTCTCTTAAGGCAGCGTTCACTATTAGAGATAGTTTAAATAAATGGACAAATAAATAAATAATTGAAACATAAATCAAGATTTAGGTTATGAAAAGACAAGAATTTAGAAAAATAAAACCTCGATTCATACAGGATTAATAATTAATTATCAATTAATATTAATTATTAATAAAACCTTAATTCATCCATTAAAAGCCAGACACCAACCTACAAATCCAGGAGATTCTTGAGTGCTCTGAAATATTCCTACACACACAAACAATACACCATGAGAAAGCTGTTGCTTTTTTCTTAGGCCTCTCGCACAGTCACGCTTCCCAAGACACTACAAGGATCTAGGAATTTCAAGATGGAAGCGAGAACCAACATCTTTTTCATTAAAAAAAGGCTAACCGCTAATCAATTTCACAACATACACACCTTTAACCTAAGCTTTTCTTTACTGGGAGAACATAAGACATCTTAGTGGTTAACCTCAAGGTAAGATCCCTCACATATATACCGCCTGCCTCGCCAACTTTAGAGACAACTCATTTTGAAGTACTCCCTGTATTGAAATGGTTTCTACTACCATTTGCAGCCGCACAGCTCCTTTAGAAAGAGGTTTATTGCAAAAGACATTTTTTTTCTTGCCTCAAGTGTCCCTCCCCACCTCTTTTCTAAGCTCGAGATGAAAGATGTATTTTCCTGTGGTCAGTTTGGGAACAGTGCTCTAATTCTGGCAGGTCAGTTCAGGACAGAGGTGTCACATGATTTGTGCCAATCTGGATTTTTGTGTGGCAGAGCAGTGGAGAAAAAACAGTAGCAGATCTATCTAAAAGGAATGAGATTGTGCGAAGGGGGCTGAAGACACACATATGAAAAAGTCCTTCCCGGAAAGGGGAGTGGGTTGCCAGATTATTTTTGACACTCTCCCCTACCCTCAGGGAGGAAGAAACCAGCCGGAGGCCACCGCTTGTCTGTCTTCCAGCCTCGGGAAGAAAGAGCGGGAGGAAGGCAAGGGGCGGCCTCCCACGCAAATGGGGAAGAGGTGGAAAACGCAAGACCCACGGGGATCTCGCCCTCCTCAACTCAGCGAGCACATGGGATCCTTTCGTAAAAGGAGAAGGATTTTTCACTGAAACCACTTCACAAGCTGATTTCCCCCTCGAACAGAAAAAGTGGGAGGGGGACTACGGTGTAGGGGAATCCGGGTCCGGTGGGGGACTGAAGGGGGACGATTCTCCAAGAGAGAGTTAGGAGATTAAGTCTAACTTGCAAGGGGAAGGAAGACGTGGGCGGCTGCAAGGATGGCTGGGGGAAGGGAAGAGATCTGGAGGGGGAGGAAGGTTTTGGCGGTGGGCGACAAGGAACGTGTCCGTTTTGTTCCCATCAGACGGGGCGAGTGAAGCTGTTAAGAGGGAAGTGCTGCTGGAGGGGGAAAGAGAAACCCGGGAGCTGGGCTCCTGCTCCTCGGCACGGGGATCCGCGCTCTCGCCCGCCTACCTTTTAGGTAATACGCCTTGCACCCGTCGTCGCGCAGCTTCTGCAGCAAGAGCCCCAGGACCGAGGTGGCGGCGCCGTTGTCCTGCCAGTCGGCCGTGGCCTCGTCGTAGAGCAGCACTGTGTCCGCTTTGCAGCGCTTGATGAAGCGCTCCTTGTCTTCGTTATTGGGGATAATGGACCGGATCGGCAGGTTGCCTTTTTTAAGGCGGCGCAACATGAGGCCCGGGATGGCCAGGTTGATGGCGGTCTCGATGTGGGAGGACTCGAAGAGCTCGTGCGGGCGGCAGTCGAGCAGCAGCAGCGAGCTGCCCCCACCAGACTCCAGCTCCTCCTGCAGCCACTCCGCGCTCTTGCACGGCATCGCCGCAGCCATGGGAGCCCGGGGGGAGCCGCCCCAGATGTGATTTTTCATGAGGATCGGGGCGAAGGGGCGGCCAAACCTGGAGGCGGAGGGAGTATCCGGGCCAACAGCACGAGAAAAAAAAAAAGCAACCTCCGCTCCCGACGCAGCACGGAGCAGAGCCCCCCAAAACAAAACAGGAAACAGCGGGGTCCAGGCACAGGAGAAAGTCTGGTGCAGTGACCCAAGCAGCTGCAAAAACAAGCGCTTCGCCCTCGCCCTCGCTCTCCCCTCCCAGGAAGTCTGCTGCAAGGATGCTTCCTTCCACTTGCAGAAATAAAAAATACGAGGGGGGAGGAGGGCTCTCCAGGCTCCTTCCCCACCCCCGACAAGTAGCTGCTTGCCGGAGACTGCCGTGCGGCTGGTCCCTTCCCTGGACGTGTTGCTCTTACACCGCTGCTCCCGCGAGTCGCCTCCGTGCGCTCGCAGGCGGACACCCCGAGCGCTTCGCCATGGGAGCGGCGCGGCGCGGCGCGCTCCAGGAGGCGGGACCGAGAAGGGGAAACAGGAGAGGCCACCCTTAAAGGAGACGCCGGGCGTCTGCGGAACGGCCCGATTTCGTCCCCTGCACAGACAGACAAACACCGCCCGGCTGCTTGTGCCGGCAGACCCGCTGCAAGCGGCACGGCTCGCACGACTCCAGCGCGCCCGCCGGCCCTGGCTCTGCCACGGCTCCGGGAAACACCATGGCAACCACTATTTTGTAACGAATTAAAGATCGAGGAGGGATGAGATAGGAAGGCGGCTGAACCCATTACTTAGTGTAGGTGCTTCCACATAGGCAAATACTTGCTGTGCTACAAAAAGAGCTGCTGGGAATACAAACATCACTTTTCCTGGACTGGAAGGTAATATATTGGCGGTTTTTCAGTGGAAAAAGTTCTCTTCGAATACAGTTTTGCAAAGGAGTTGTTCAGCTTCTTGTACAGACGGGTAGAGGAAGTCACCCCTCTTCACCTGAGGCCATCCGAGCATATAGGACCTCCTCCTCCTGCTCATTGTTTTTGCAAACATCTCTTGAAGTAAAAGTTCATACTGGAGACTGTAGGGAAGGTACTGCACCAGGACGACAGTCAGGCTTTTCTGGGGGATATTCCTGGGGCCTCAGCTTTATAAAAATTGAGCATGGGTCTCAATCCCCTGCGGATGCTGTAACTTGCTTTACATTTAGGTCTGTTCTAAAATCCAGGCTCCTGTTCTTTGAACAACCTTCAGGCTACTCCAGTCTAACCTTGCAGATGGGATGTGAGCACCAGAACCGCACACACGAAGAATGGATTTAAAGAGTTCATGCTTTGCAACACAGGAGAATGACTACAACTAAGAGGAACAGAAATAGCTATGGTAGGATAGAGCAGACCTGATTTTCTTTTTAAAATGAGGTTTACATCTGTGTAAATCCAGATTTCAGTAGAAGTGAATTATCAGGCCCAAAGTAAGAGGTCTGGCCCAGATTGGACAGCACCTTTTCTACTCAGTAGAAGAAAACTGATGTTTATTGGTACAAATTATTCTGATAAATGCGGGGAGGGGAAATCTTGAAATAGGGGAGGAGGCTGGGGGGTGCTTATCATATTGGTATCTGGATACAGAACTGAACCACCTGATTCAGAGATGCAAATAAAACAACCACTCATAAAAACAAGCCAGCAACAGTGAGAGCAAATGCATCACACGCCTCTGGGCAGGGGTGGGGAGGGGAGAACCTTCCTTCACTTCCTGTTTCCACCACATGCCAAATAGTGGCTTTAGTGGGAGGAGTTAAATAGTAGAGGCCCTATCTGAGACGGGGTGGGGGGAGCAAAACAATTGATGGTTGCTAATTGGAAAGCGCAGGAAAGAGGCAGGCTCAAAACCGTGAATGGAGCGGCAGGTTAAGTGAGAACTATGAACCCTTGGAGCATGGTTTGTGACCAGCTGTAACTGCTAGGGCTGCTATGCAATTGATGTAAGTCAGTAGCAAGAGCAATATCAGGGCTTCAAATTCTTCCCCCTTGTAATCTCTGATGCTTAGGGTTTAATAGGTTGCATAGTTTCAAATCCGACTCTAAGTGGCTTGTTTTGGCAAACACCATCAGAAGCTTATGGCAGTTAGTTCCAGTGAAGCTATTAAAGAGATCAGGCGCTACTGCTAAGAAAATCCATCCATCTGCAAACAGTGCCAAGAAATCAAAATTAGGGGTGCACTGATAGAGATTTTTTGGGTTGATACCGATGGTTGATTTTTAAGGGCTGTATCTGACAATACTGATCCTTTGGGCAGCTTGGGCAGCTTGGAGACCAGTGTCAGGCTGGTAAGCTGCTCAGCCGGGGCAGGCGTGGGACAGAGGCACGAGCAGCTCGTCTGGGGGAGAGCGGGGGCAGCTCCCACCCTGCATGTACCCTGGGAGGGCAAAGGGGGCATGTGTCCCCAGATCTATGCAGGGTGGGGGCGGGCTGCTGCTGCAGGCTGAGGCTGGGGCTGGGGCTGTGCTGGGCTTTTCCTGGCAGGGGGCTGGGCCAGGCTGCACAGTGCTGTGCTGCACTTGTGGTGGTGGGCAGCAGCACTAGGAGCGGAGCTACATGTGGGGGCTGCAGCCACCCCAAAATTTGCCATAGCCTCCCCAATCCCCCTCCCAGTGATGCCGCCATGCACCCTGAGCCCAGCGCAGCCCCAGCCTGCAGTGGCAGTCCGCCCCACCCCACACAGATCTGGGGGCACGTGGCCCCCATGCTCACTCGGGGTGCATGCAGTGACGGGAGCCACCCCCCTGGGCAAGCCACACTCATGGCTCTGTCCCATGCCCACCCTACTCTGCCATGGCTTAGCAGTACCAGCGCTAGCCCCTAACTCCACTCCATCACTCACCACAGGGAGGCCTTGATCTGCCTGCTCCCCCACACCCCTTCCCTTCCCCTACACCAGACTTACCAGCCTGATGCTGGTCTCCAAGCTGCTGGGCTGAGCTTCTAGCCCTATGCATGTTGCACAGGGCATTTATCAGCCACATCAAAGCCGATAATGCAAACTAAGCCGATTTCCGATACTTTCAATTTTCTCTATATCAGTGCCGACCCGATATGGGATCGATGCTTCGATGCACCTCTAATCAAAATTATATCTAATATTACATTCTGTAAAGCTTTTACAATGAGCTTAATGTTGCAAAAGATGCAATGGTAAAGACAGTCTCAGTCCCAAATGACTTACAATCTTTCTTTGTTGCTTTAAAGCTGTTTCAATCACAGGAGGGAGGTAACAAATATTCATCTGAATCCCTAAAGCATGGGTGTCTGATGTCTCTTGAGTCGGGGGGGGCATGTGCCCCCTAACACCAGTCAGCAACTGGGGAAGGGGTGGAGGGAGTCCCCTCATGGCCTATCTGACTCACCGTAAAAGCATAAAAGCTTCTGGAAGTGGTTGTGGGAGTTTTGGAAGCGGCGCAGGCACTTTTACTGGCGACCCTGCTCCTCAGGCGGCTCTTGCAGCAGGGGCACTGGTGCTCCCGCCTGCCCCCCTGCCTGTCAGCTAAACAGGGAGTACGGCCGGTCAGGAGGTGCACCAGCACTCTCAGGGGGTGCACGTGCACCCCTGTGCACCCCCTACCCATCGCCCCTGCCCTAAAGTCATATTTGTTTTTATGACGAAAGAGAGTAAGTACTAGTTTATTTTAATTAAAAAACCCATGAAGTTAAAAATAATATGAATTGAAACTCAAAGTCTCTAAATGCCCATTTAGTTTTTTCCTGAGTCCTTGTTTATTTTTAGATTAAAAGTTGTACTTCAAAGCACCCATTAGCATAAATATAAGTTGTATATTTGAAAATATAAAACTTGAAAAATGTTAAAAAAAAGAAAATCATTCCATGCATTGTTCTGCTTTTTCCTTTTTTTTAGGTTTTTTTTTGTAGTGGATAGCTATCTAATTCCAGACAAGTTAGTACCTGATAAAAAGCTTTCCTACTAAAGTATTCTTTAATGAATTCTATGTTTCCAAACTGGGCTGCTTCTATTATAGCCCATTTCCAAATACCCGTTTACTTAAATGTGAGTAGGATAAACCCCTAAATTTTGGCTGGCTAACTCTTTCCTTTTTTGGAGCATGATCCCTGTTCTCAGTAGTCTATCTTGTACTTTACATTTTCCCAGAAGGGAATGTGACATTGGATGCTGGTGTCCTTATCTGAACCATTTAACTGGACTCAGTCTCCCATTTAGTTCAATGCAGACCCCTAGAGATTTCCCCCGGTAGATCAGGGCAACTGGAAACATATTAGACTTGAAAACAGTGAGCATCAAACTTAATAAAGAATTTAAAAAATACCAGCATTTTAAACTAAAAATCTTAAATGTTATTATCAAGTCAGGCTGATATTGTATAAGTCATTGTGTAAATGAAAACATTTTACAGACTTCATAAGATCTTCACATCTCAGATATAAGATTCATAGCTGGGACTTTAATATAGCCAGAGTCTACAGTAATTATTCAGGTATATTTGAAATGTAAAGCCTACCAGTTTTTGGTCCCCATTTGAATTTGAGTTGGCATTTTAGAGGACTTTGTTTTGGTGCAAACCCCCTAACATATGCCTTCCTTTTAATTTATTATTTAATGGTTTGATTCTACATTCTTGTTGTTATGTAATAAAGTGAGGGGACCATCCCATGCTTCAACTGTGATAGCTGAGTGGTCAAGACCCTCTCTCAAGGAAGCCAGAGACCTGGGTTTTAAGTTCCCCTCACATAGAAGTTTGAACCAGTATCTCTTACTGACTTCTGATCATAGTGTTACAACATTGCCTGCATTACCTATACCTTTCTCTGATGCTCCTTTTGAAGACTGTAAAGCAGTCTTTAAACTAAGAAGTGCGTGGGCAAAGCTGATAGGTGTGGAAGGGCACACAGGTCAAGTTGATGCAGCCCTAAGGGGGGCATCATACAGATTCTACACTTTCTTGAAGATAGTGTGGGAGTAAGAAGCACAACTAGATAATCGTGAGGATAAGTCAGAACTTCTAGAGTGCCAGTCAAATAGCACAAGCAGTAAAAGGGACAAAAATATAAGTGCCTCTATGAAAATGCCAGAAATCTAAAAAATAACATTAGTGAACTAGAATGCCTGGTATTAAATGGTGCATTTGACTTATTAGGCATCTCAGACTTGGCATTGTCTAACCGGGTCTTAAAAACCTCCAAGGATGGAGATCCCACTGGGTAACCTGCTCCAGTGTTTTACTCTCCTCCTAGCGAGGAAATTCTTTCCAATATTTAACCTAAACTTCCCTTGCTGCAACTTGAAACCATTGCTCCTTGTTTTGTTATCTGCCACCAGTGAAAACAGTCTAACTCAATCCTCTTTCGAATCCCCCTTTAGGTAGTTAAAGGCTGCTATTAATTCTGCTCTGGGTGCATCTACACATCGCTGTTTGGCAATGTTGCTGTAGTGCTGTGCTATAGTACTTCCTTTTGGAAATACTAAAGCATGGCGCAGTACGGGCAGTTACTGCAGCATGCTTTTGGCGCATGGTTAGGTTTTGCCACTATGTCGCCATAACAGGATGCTATAACCAGGGAGCGTGTCACTAGGGTGATGTACCTGGCAATAATGTGTAGGCCACATGATGGCAAAATCACCATAGCATGCTGTATGGCAACATAGCATGTTGCTGCGTTGTCATAGGGCAACATGTAGATGCGCCTTTTCAGTCTTCTCTTCTCTAGACTAAATAAGCCCAGTTCCCTTAGCTTCTCCTCATAAGTCATCTGCCCTAGCCCCTGAACCATTTTTGTTGCCCTCCCTTGGACTGTCCCCAATTTGTCCATATCCTTTCTGTGGTAGGGGGCCCAAAAACTGAACCCAGTACTCCAGATTTAGCCTCATTAGTGCTGAATAGAGAGGAACAATCACTTCCCTTCACTTGCTGGTAACAAACCTATCAATGCACAATGCAGTTACTGCAGTATGCTGTTAGCCTTGTGTAACAGGTCGCCCTCCCCAGTGCCGTCTTCCCGGTTAATCTGTGCCTTACGTGGGGCGCCCTAGGAGTCTGCTTTGGAGCTCTTATGTCCCGCCCTCTACTCGCCTGCCACGTCTTGATGGAAATTATTGTTGATGTTCTTGCGAGCGGGAGTTTGCCTATTGTATTCTGTATGTTGGGGTCTTTCGCCTACATGGGCCTGACCCCTGTATTTCTATAGCTAGGCCTCCCCGTCCAAAACCCACCAAACAGGGTTTACCCCCGCGGCTCTAGCTTTTTCGGTGTTGGGCCTTGTTACAATTTGGCTCCCTAGTCCTCGGGCTCTCTGCAGCCCTGTCTCGCACTGCATGTCACTGGCGCTCGGTCTCTCTGCGGCCCTGTCTCGCACTGCACCTTCACTGGTGCTCGGGCTCTCCACAGCCCTGTCTCGCTCTGCGCCCTCTCTGGCTCTCGGGCTCTCTGCAGCCCTGTCTCGCTCTGCGCCCTCTCTGGCTCTCGGGCTCTCCGCAGCCCTGTCTCGCTCTGCGCCCTCTCTGGCTCTCGGGCTCTCTGCAGCCCTGTCTCGCTCTGCGCCCTCTCTGGCTCTCGGGCTCTCCGCAGCCCTGTCTCGCTCTGCGCCCTCTCTGGCTCTCGGGCTCTCTGCAGCCCTGTCTCGCTCTGCGCCCTCTCTGGCTCTCGGGCTCTCCGCAGCCCTGTCTCGCTCTGCGCCCTCTCTGGCTCTCGGGCTCTCTGCAGCCCTGTCTCACTCTGCGCCCTCTCTGGCACCAGGGTCGGTGCATCCCGAAATGCTGCGCCCTCTCTGTCACTGGGATCAGTGCACCCCAAATGCTGTGCCCTCTCTGGTGCCGGAGTCCCTACACTGCCGTGGGTCCCATATGAGGCCTCCTCCATCCTCTAATAGCCTCACCCAAGCCACCGGTGTTAGTCAGTAATTAAAAAGGAAAAAATAATAACCACCACCAGTCACTATGATCAAGCAAAGCAGCAGGTCAGTTTATATTCACAGGCTTCATGCTTTAGCTCCCGACCGTCGACTACAGTCCTTGTTGTGGTGCGGCTGCCGTCTCTCCACAGCTTCATAGTTCCCAGCTTTGGACTGATCACCCAGCTTCTCTGTGGAGCTCTCAGAGGCACTCCTTCCCCTTCAGCTGCTGTCCCCCTTACTGCCGCTCTACCCAGGGTTTTTATAGTCCTGCCCCTTCCGGTCAGCTGACTAGCTGGCCAGGTCCAGCATTTAACCCTTTCCTTACCAGCACTCCGTGCCCAGAAAGTTCTGACCTTAAAGGGGCGGGCCTGCTTTCTGG